CAACGCAGCGCAAGCGGTCACAGGTACATGGAACCTTCCTTCCTTCATTCGCGCAACATTCCGAAAAGCGTGCGAGCAAAGAGCGTTCAGGGGCACGACGCGGGCACGCCGCCGAGTCGCCTTGCGCCAGCTCTGACCGACCTTTTGTCCGTGGAGACCGGGTCGCTGGCAACATAAACCGGACTGTCGGACGACGACTCCTTGTTGATGACCACCACGATGTGGGCGCGGTCGGGGTCGAAGAAGTTGACGTCCATCTCGATGTGGCAGTTCTCGCCGGCCTCCCGGAACCAGGGCGACTTGAGCTGCGTGTGCGCCTCGCCCGCCCCGCTGGTCAGCAGGAGGTAGTGGCCTGCGGGCACGGGGTGCCAGGTCAGCGGCGAGTGACGCAGACAGGCAGACAGGCGCAGACAGGCGAACGGGCAGACAGGCGTCCGCCGCCAACTAATCAGAGACCAACGCGGCGTGGGAGAGCCGCACGATAACAGCGCGAGGCTTTCCGTCCGATCGCTGAGAGGGACGCCTCTGGCTGCTGGAAGAGGACAGCAGGTCGATTCAAGGGCGGTGAGGCTGCTGGAGAAGGGGCTGCGATCTCGGGACGCGATCAGCAGCGCGCTTCCGCTCACGTAAAGCCGGTCTAAATGAGGGAGTACGGTGAGTTGGTGATCGTTGGCGGGCACTTGTCGGGTGAGTTGGGGGGGGGGGGGGGGGGGAGATGCTGCGCCAGGCGTGTTCTCGGCGTTCTCTCCCGCACACGCCGAGAAGAATACCCCGCCGTGGTGCTGCGATCTTGCATCGTCGCGTCTGTGTCTCTGCCAGAGAGAGCCGAAATGAAAATTGTTGGCGCCGCCAAGCGAGGGAAGTATGGAGCAAATGGACCTGTGAAGCGGAGAAGTGCTGGGCAATATATCCTCGTTCCACTGCTGGGAGTGCTTCACATCCTTTGTCGACGGCGCTTTTTTTGGCATCAAGTATACACAAACGCCTCATCCAGATGTTGATGTTTGTGCCGGCAACAAATGGCGGTTCGCTGGGCAGTAATCTCGCTCGTTTCTCAAACGCAAGTGCGTTTTATTGGCGTCTCTCGTGATACATTTATATGCGTAATGTAGACATCTGAGAAGATTCTCGCCAAAGCAACTCAGTTGCGTATGATGGTGATTACAAGCTCACTCGTCTGAGTGATTTCTGATGTGCGATGCACGCCGTTTCAGCGTAAACTAACGGCGGCATCTGGCGTTAGAATCACAGACCCACGCAAGATGCCGCGGCTAATGTTGCCCTGATTTATTTGTTCTCGAACTATCGCCGCGCGCCACACACTATTCGCTTACTTCGAGGCCATCCTTATCACATGGCGAAACACTAAAATGATACCGGCGCGACGAGGCTCAGTTAATGCAGGCAGTAGAAGCTTGGTGGGCGTGGGCCCTTTGCATCCATAATGAACGGGCGAATCCGTGGAAATAGCATCCAATTTTGGAGAGAGAAAAGAAATCCGGCCCTGAAGCATGCGCACGGGTATAATTATTACCAAATATGGGTGGCAGCACGCGCACCAGCATAACAAAATGTCGTGCCTTTTTTTGATGTTGTACGCAACATTTGCGGTGGTCGCTGCTGCTCAGCCAGCTTCCACCGGTGAACGGCAACCTGACAGGTACCAAATTAACGGTTTTTCGTCTCGAATATAACCAAGCCCGTCGTGGTCAGGGCTTAACAACCATGCGTAATTATATGTTTTACAAAGGTAGCGAATGACATGACAAGCAGCATGTCCAGCCACGTAGCATCCCTGTGACAAAACAATGTCACAATAGTCGTTCCGCATTGGCGTGACCTATGACCCCGCTGGTAGTAACAGTCCCACTCAACCGATTTGTTGCAGACACACATAATCATATCCAGACATCTGGCGGGGACGGGATATTCGCCGACTTTCATTTGCAGGGGAGGAGTGTTGTGCAACTCTGCTGGCACCGTCGAGTTGATGTTATCGTCTCCTGATTTTGGGTGGCATGCACTTCTCGAGTCATGCAGTGCATGCCATGATGATGCTGAGTTAGCTCAGTTCAGTGAGTGGTTATCGTACGTCGAGAAATGCCAGAAGAACGGACAAACGAGCAGTGCTTGGATGATCGTGACCAATAGCGGACATACCAACCTTCACGCTTTTTTTCTAGATTTAGCAACTTTTTCACGTTTTCCATCATGTGAGGTCACTTGCACTTGGCCTAGTTCTAAAGCTCTGTACAACGAAAATGTCAAGAATCAGCGCTCCATGTAACAACTGTCTTTACCAATTTGAACTGACATAGCCCGTCAGACGTCACCCCTGTCGACATCCATCAGTGCCATCTGATCGGGTTTTCCAGCAGCCATTTAACGCTGTTCTCCGCACTGCCGTAGCATACTCAGTTCATAAGACAACGCGAGGCATCTATTAAGTGCTAATTAGACCCTTGCGATGATTTGATGATTATGATTTGATCTATTAAAGGTCACACTCAACATAGTTCAGTCACACACGTCTGATGGAGCTTGACAATAGCTTTCTAAGGCCGCTTTCCGCGAGGCCCTAGCCCGCTTAGTTCTCGAGATCTCAGGGAGCCCCTGAGGCTCCTCGGACGGTGAACGTGAACAAGTCCGCGTAAGACGAGGCTTAAAACGAATTCGTTATGAAAAAGCACAACGATGATACTGGTGTGCTACCGGATGCGAATTGCGAACGTGAACGCTGCAGTACATAGTGGTATTTCTAGAACGCTCATTAGGAAGTGATAATGGTGGCCTGGCTGGTGTAGCTCTGCACAGAGGTGATAACGGTGACCTGGCTGGTGTAGCTCTACACAGAAAGATAACAGTGACCTGGCTGGTGTAGCTCTGCACGGAAGTGATAACGGTGACCTGGCTGGTGCGGTTCTGCAGCAGAAAAAATTACGGTGGCCTGGCTGGTGTAGCTCTGCACAGAAGTCATGACGGTGACCTGGCTGGTGTAGCTCTACACAGAAGTGATAACGGTGACCTGGCTGGTTTAGCTCTACACAGAAGTGATAATGGTGACCTGGCTGGTTTAGCTCTGCACAGAAGTCATGACGGTGACCTGGCTGGTGTAGCTCTACACAGAAGTGATAACGATGACCTGGCTGGTGCGGCTCTGCACAGAAGTGATAACAGTGGCCTGGCTGGTGTAGCTCTGCGCAGAAGTGATAACGGTGACCTGGCTGGTGTAGCTCCGCACAGAAGTGATAACGGTGGCCTGGCTGATGCGGCTCTGCACAGAAAAAATTACGGTGGCCTGGGTGGTGTGGCTCTGCACAGAAACGAAGTGAGTGCTTACGAGTTCAGCGACGATAACAACTTATTCGGCACTGGTTGTGTATATGTCTGTACCTATATAACAGCGCACGCCGGTGCCGTGTCAGACCGGATCCCGAAAAAGACGGCGCTGCCCCCCCCCCCCCCCCCTCCGCATGATGTCGCGTGTGAGGATCATACACATGCCCAGAATATTCACCTGCGTTCATTCCGCAATTGTTATTGGGAGCTTTGATGCTAATGACCATTGACAAATTATGTTCGGTGCTACGTAAATCACTCCAAATTCAACACTTAGGCGCTGTGCCAGATGAGAAAATATTTTTGGGAGACTTTTGCTTAAAACGTTTGCGTTCTGGCAAAATAACACAGTTATCATCTATGCACCATAACACAACATGGCTATGGGCACTATGCACTAAGGAGAGCATTATTGACACGCTCTACTAACTCATAAAAAGTGCACTTAATTGAAACGGCCTTGGATGGTCTGAGAACTATGTTGACCTTCCACGATTATATATAATATATTTAATTATTTATTATTTATAATTTTTTTATTATATTTTTTAATATCATATATTAGATTACATACAAACGCTGTTCTACATCAGTGACGTTGTCATACACAATCGTGTATTGACAGGAAATAGGCTCGGGCAGCTAAAGAAGCTTCCGGCGTTCGAAATTGTGACGTCATTTTGACTAAAGAAAGAGGACACTAGGCTTGAATTGAATTCAGACACGCTCAAGGCACAGCCGTAGCTTGTCAGAACGCTTGGGTCCATCCAGCATTAAATTGTGCCACCATGAGGCAATCACATACACAAGAATACACTAGCAAATCGCACTTCACAGCAGCATGCATGGAGAGGAAATGGCCCGGAAGCCAGTTGTCTGCCGTCGGTGAGTTATAGGAAAAATAAACGAGTGGCGTTGATCATCCAGTGAATGGTAAGTTAACTGTCACGGTTTGTTTGAGTGAAACGATATTTCGCTGTTTTTTTTTCTCCCAGACAGCCGACCGCAAAACGTCCTTCCCCAGTCAGCTGCGTTCCGTCAGGCATCTCACGCAGATGTACTCGGCTATGGACACAATCACAAGAGAACAGCGCGCTCCGTACCGCAGCCAACCCAAGCCCAAATCTCGCCTGGGGCGCTGGGTACACGCCATGCATTGCCGTGCCGTACGGTGGACGTGCCCACGGCTGCCCTCAGGTCAGAAGTCAGAGGGCGAGGGCCGATCATAAGAGCAATCCGCTGCCGGTTGGCAGCCGCCGAATCACGGCAAAGCGAAACGCAACAATACGGACAGCAAGACTGTGCAAAGAGACGGAGGCGAACGCCCATCGATAAGCCCAGGCCAAAGGTCAATCCAGGCGCAGCCGGGCGAGCGCACTCGCGGATGGTACAGGCCATACTTCACTTGGCGCGGTTCGGAGAACGCTCCCGACATCGGTTATGCATACTAGTGAGCGCAATGGTGGCTTGCGGCAGCTAGTTTGCTCAGGCGGAAAACAACGTCTGAACTTGGCATGTAAGCTGCCAAAGTAGCACGTGGGTGAACCGAGCGACACCGCCAGGGGGGACGGCAATCCACCGGGTGACACGGGATGACGGCCTCTTAAAAGCTGAATGTGACTAACTGTTCCTTCAACCGTATGCCTGGGCAACGTGCCCCCCCCCCCCCAACCGCCACTCACTCACCCCTCCTCACTCCCTGGACTCGCCCGTGGCGTAGGCACTACGACTGGCTATTCTGGAGACGCAGTGGCCCCGTGCAACAGCGCCAAAGGCAGCGGAGTCGGCGGCTGCTGCCAGCTGGCACGGCCGCGGTGTTTACACCGGGCCTGCGCCGACATACGGGACCGATCCGACGTGCCCGGTGTTATGCCCTTGTCTGGTCCGCGGCGAACCCTGTCTGCCTGACCCAGAGTGGTGTCTGAGAAGATGCGACTGTTTCGGAGCGACCAGTCTGCCGTGCTCGCGGACGGAGCGACCAGTCTGCCGCACTCACGGACGGAGCGACGGGTC